GCTCACACTTTATAATTTCTGCATTCAAAGGACATCTCTTTAAATTAATATTCAATAAGCACAATCTGCATTACAAGGGAAGTCTGAAAGCAAAGCATTGCACAAAAGTAATTCAAGACTTTATGCATTCAAATATTACTGTATATGTTTGTTTTAAATCTCTCAAGCATGCCCTGCACCTTAGACTTCTCTTGTAAGTGCATTAGGATAAACATGATTTTACAGTAAATTTTAACTGTAAGATCAGTCAAAATGATGTTTGTTGGTCATTGACAGCATGCCACAGACTTTTTTTTCGATATTATAGTACATGATGAGGCCTTATGCATTCACTTTACATGCAGAAATTAATACTTATTTTCATAAACTATACCCTAAAAATTGGGTTGTGTAACATTGTTAATGTTATATAAGGCTGCATTAATTTTAAAAATACAGTATTAAAAGTACAGTAACATTGTGTAATATAAATACAATTTAAAACAGTGATGTGATGTGATGCAAAACTGAATTGACTCCAGTCTTCAGTGTCACACTCTCCTTCTTGCTGCTCAAGAAACACTTCTGATTATTCACTATAAAAAAATATTGATGGTTTAACTTAAAAAGTAAGTAACCTGGTTGCCTTAAAATTTTAAGTTCATTGAACTGGAAAAAGTGAGTTAATACAACGAAGGAGATTGATTTAACCATCAGAAACTCAAAATTATATGTTATCTGTACTAAATAAAATTATTTAAGTTGATTTGACAAAAGAAAAAAAAAATATTGTTGGTTTAACTTAAAAAAAGTAAGTAACCTGGTTGCCTTAAAATTTTAAGTTCATTAAACTGGAAAAAGTGAGTTAATACAATGAAGGAGATCAATTTAACCATCAGAAACTCAAAAATATATGTTATCTCAACTAAATAAATTATTATAAAGTTGATTTGACAAAATAAAATATGTTGTGATAATAAATCTTGAAAATATTTCTTACAGTGTGTTGGAAACATTTCTGTGACCCCAAACTTTTGAATGGTAGTTCTTTAACCATTACGTCAACTTTCAATTGGATCAATTGTAAATAAAACCGTGGATTTCACCCCTAAATATCAAAGGAGTTTTGTCACTTTAAGTCATTTTTACCCTGAAATTCATTCATTTCTCCTTCATTCATTCACCTTCATCTCCAACTATTGGTCATATCAGAAAGCCTGAAGAGTCAAACGTCTTCCCTGATCTTTCCAGTTAACAAATGATGGTGCGCACAGCTGTCAGAGCCCCTCATAAAAACGACTCCCAGTGAGGAGGGGCTGAATATGATCACAGCTTTATTGGACAGTGACAAATCTTCCTGCACTAACATAAAAAGCAGCGCTGGCCGTCCCCTGCATGTGCGGCACAATGCTGACGCGCCAACCTGGCGACAGCTTGCGTCTCTCTCTGTCTGATTGATGGGTGAGAGTAGGCCCCGGGCTCCGAGCGGTCTGGCCGCCTTTCTTATTCATACATTAACTAGTCTCAGTACAGATGGTTCAGTCCAATGGCAGCATTTTTTGTAGCGGTCTGAAATGATGCCCATGTTTGTTAGCATATGCTAAAAACATAAACATGGTGTGGGCAATATTGCGGTAATGGTGCTAGATGAAAGCATATGGACTCATTTTATATTCATATATATCATAAAACACATTAAAGACTGACACATTATTTCAGAACAGATGAGCAGCTGCCATTTTTTACAGGATTTTAGAACCTCATTATTTCAATCTAGTCTGTTTATATTAGCTTAATTTACATTACTATGATATTTTTCATTTGTATTTGGAATCTGTTCTTGAATTATTTAATAATTTCCTACAATTTATTCAACTAAAAAAAAATGATTGTTGTTATTGTGAATTTTATTTTATTATTGTTTCATTTTATTTGAGCTATTTAATTAAGTCGATTCATTATAATTTGCAATGGTGGCCTGGCATTATTAGCACATTCCAAAAATAAATAAATTTGATATACATTGACGTTGTTAGTCAAAGCAAATTACAGTAAAAAAACATACTGTAAAAAATATTGTTGGTTTAACTTAAAAAAGTAAGTAACCTGGTTGCCTTAAAATTTTAAGTTGATTGAACTGGAAAAAAGTGAGTTAATACAATGAAGGAGATTGATTTAATCTTCAGAAACTCAAAATAATAAGTTATCTGAACTAAATAAATTATTTAAGTTGATTTGACAAAAGAAAAAAATGTTGTGATAACAAATCTTGAACATATTTTTTTACAGTGAAGATGTTGTGAGATTCTAAATCACGTACAATCTTTAATTATTATGTAAAATATAGAAATCAATTTTATAATCTTTAAAAAAAATTTGCTTCAGTCAATAATATCTTGTTTCTGAATCTATAATCTGGTTTGAGCGTTAAAAAAAACATCTCTATTATGTGTTCTTCACTAAAAAATAAAAAAAAATATTATAATAATAATTAATTTGATTGACCAAAAGAAGACGTCAGGAGAGGTATTTTTCATTATAATAATAGAAGTTTAATTTAAGAAACAAAACTATACGTTTTCAATCTCCATTTTGCTGCAAAGAACATACAAGTAGCCTATAGTGACTAAAAAAAAACAGCTATTACAAAACATTCTTCAGTACAAAAATAGCAGCAGCTTGTTAGAAAAACCAAATTCTGTACAGGACATTTACAATGTATACAACACAACTAGAAACACATCCAGAAGTTTTCAGTTCTTTTTGAGTCTGTAATTCAACTTCGGCCTACTCCAGCCTGAAGCCTGGGCCTCGCCTGGATCACTTCCCCATGGAGAGGCTGTGCAGGCTGGCTGTGGACGCAGGGAGCGGCTGGCAGAGGGAGCAGGGGCAAGGCATGCCGGGGAAATGCCTGTAGCCGCTGGAGAGGTGCAGAGGGTCTTTCATCAGGGTGGAAAGAGGTGGAGCGTGGAAACCCAGATACCCAGCCGAGGGTGGAGAGTGAGGGGCGTGGGCTACACCCGGCGTGGTGGTCGAGGTGCTGCCCACCAGAGAGTGCAGGGACGGGGCAAGCGAGAGCAGTTGCAACTGGGGGGCCGGAGCAGCCGAAGTCGGCGGTAATACCCGTCTGGCCGAGTGACTCTGAGGGCTTGCTCCGTACACATCGCCGATCAGCTTCTTCATCTCGTCCAGAGAGCTGGACAGCATGAGGATGTAGTTTCTGGCGAGGAGCAGGGTGGAGATTTTGGACAGCTTGCGTACAGACGGGCCCTGAGCGTAGGGCATCACCTCTCGGAGCCCGTCCATCGCCTGGTTGAGGTCGTGCATGCGTTTGCGCTCACGGCTGTTCACTTTGAGTCGCAGATCTTGCTGGTCGTCTTTGGGGTGATCTCTCTTTGAGCTGGAGTCGGAGCTTCCGGTAACTTTCTCGGACCCGGAAACTTTCCTCGTTTCTCCGTAAGCTTGGAACATCTTGTTGGAGAAAAAGCTGGAGTCCACAGCCAGGTCAGGCGAAGAAGACCGACTGCATGTGGAGCTTGCATCAGAATCCATCTTGAAATTGGTTTCTTCGAAGTCTTGGTTGAGAACAATCCACTCGGTAAACGCCAACCTAGTAAAATGTGCTGTTGTTCTCAGAGGATTCGGTGCGTAGGTTCTGCCGGAGGAGTGAGTGAGTGTGTGTGTGAACACCGAGAGGGCTGGATTTATACTCCTCAGCATCACAAAGACACAATGAGACGCATAATGTGACATTAGGCCCAGAGCCAATGACAGAGGGGGCACACTTTCACCCCCACATCCACAATAGTATTGTATAAACCCCGCCTCCACCAAACACACACATGCACACAAAACCGCAACAGCTAGCATGCACACATATGTGCAAACACACTTGGTAGCTAGATTTGATTAATAACATAAACAGAAATGTAAGCTGTTGTTGTGATTACAGGTCAAATATATGCTATTCTTTCTTAAGTAGGCCTATGTATTGTGAATCACATTAACTCAGGCCACATTTTCCCCAAAATACAGTGGGAGAAAAAAACAAACAATACTATGACTACTAATAATAATATAGCCAAATGCAATGCATGAACAAAACGAAATCTCATTTTTGGAGCATGACAAATATCTAAACATCTCATTTATTACTGTCATCTAAAAAAGTTTTTTAAATTCTAAACCATTTATTCCTCATTATAAAATCTTTTCGCCATTGACGGAATTTTCCGGAAATCAATGTTTTTAGGGTTATATGGTAGGGGGCGCTATTACGCATCTTCTGAAATAGTACAGATAGTAAAAAAAGCAGAAACCAGTGATAAAAGCACATGTAAAATAACATGATCACCAAATATTAAACCATATTATTTTTTTATTTTTATTATTTTATTTATTTATTTATTTATTTTTATGTAGGCCTATCCAAGGTTGTAATAATGCGTATTTGATTATTGTTGATTCGTTTTATTGTGTTTGTAAGGTGTCCTTGAGTGTCCTGTAAGGCGCCTATAAATAAAATGTATTATTATTATTATTATTATTACATAAATCAAAACTGCCTGTAGAATGAAATGTCGACCGAGGACGAGGTAAACGACTAGGGGTTGATAGACTCGATCTTCTCCATCTGTGTTTTAAAAACACACTTTCCCTGAGTTTTTTTTTTTTTTTTTAGGAATCTTACCCACATTCAAGTGTTGCTAAAAAACCAGAGGGTCTATTCTTTTGGTGTATTGTAAATTCATACAACAAAATATTCTGGGGGCCATGAAAGTTTTGTGAAAATGATGAAAAATCCTGGGACCGGCTCTAAAAATGCTGATGGGAAAGAGTTTAATTGTGAATGTTTCTATTTTACTTTTAAAAGAATGTAAATAATTATGTTATAATATATATATAAGTATAAGTATATAGTATAATATATAAGTTATAATATAATTTAAGATGAATTGCTTGTTGTATTTCTCACTTTGGATGAACATATCTGCTAAATTAATAAATGTAAAATAATATTGCATCTTTAATACTGGGGATTACACAGAAAAAAACTCAAAAGTAAAATGTTCCAAACACATTACAGTAATGACATAATAGCAAAAAATAAAATAAAAATATTAAAATAAAAATTAAAAAAGGTTTTTAATGTCTTGTAAATAAAAAATAATTCTTTATGAAAGTTGTTGATATTGTAGGTGACCTGACAGATTTTATTAGATTCACTTTACAATATCCCTTTCTCTCTCTCTTACTCCGTGAGGTGTGTAAACTTGAGCGTTTTAAAGGCAGTCGAGGCACTAAAGACACTGGCCGGCTGAATTCCATTAGACTCTATAGAGTGTGAAGAGCCAGAGAAAAGCCCCTGTGGAGGGCCAGTGGAGAGCGGCTAAAGAAAGAGAGAGTTATTACCAGCTCTGCTTTTAGAGGACTCATTAACATCTCCATTACACACACGGTATCACACTAAACTGATCACTCACAAGCTGTCCTCGTTTATTTGATTCCCCAGTTAACACAAAATAGAGTTGTTTCACTGTTTTAAAACTCCAATCTATATTACCAATGGATTTATAGTTTACATTTTTCTTGCTTCTTTGTTTTTGCAAGAAAAATGTAAAATAGGCCAACTTATATGCCATACCAATATTTTATTTATGTATGCTTTTAGAGTTTCACATACAAAAAGCTATCATACTACTGTTCAAAAGTTTTATATATGTACGTTTTAATACTTTTATTCAGCAAGGATGCATTAAATTGATCAAAAGTTATGTTATAAAAATATTTCTATTAATAAATGCTAAAAAAAAAACCTGCAAAAATGTATGGTTTCCACCAAAAATATGAACTGTTTTCAAAATAATAACAAATGTTTCTTGAGCATCAAATCATCATTTCTGAAGGATCATGTGAGTAATGATGCTGAAAATTCAGCTTTGATCACAGGAATAAATTACAATACACATTTTAAATTAATATTACTGCTTTTGCTGTATTTCTAATCAAATAAATGTAGAGACATCTTTCAAATTTTGACAAACCCCAATCTTTTGAACGGTAGCGTTTCTATAGAAAATTTTATTCCAACAGCACTAGGGGTGTAGCGATGCCCTCGTCATGATTCGATACATATCACGATACTGAACTCACGATACGATATTATTGCGATACTCCAAGACATATGGTAAAAGGGTAACAAAAAATGTACGGTTGATTAAAATACAAATGAATAGGCTTGGACTTCCCAAGGACAATGGTGACACCACAATATTCATGATTCTGAAGTTATTGTAGATGAATATGCATGCACGCTTTCACCGACTAGATATAATTAAAATAACGTCGGCCACTTTTTACTGGTAACACAAGACATTTGTCATTATCAAGACCCACAAATATTCCCACATTGAATTATTATACATTATAATCAACATTACATTTAGTAGTTCAATGCAGTACTTGCTCTAAAACTCTGAAAACTTGTTTTTTTCTCACACAGTATTTTTTTTTATTTTGGGGGGACTATCCACGATACGTATTGTCACTATCCATGATACGCATTGTTGAATTTGTGCATTGCGATTTATTGTGGCATGATTTATTGTTTCATCCCTAATATGCACACAAATTAGTGATTCATTTATAATGTATTTTTTTCCTTCAGACGTGATCACTATTAACTGTCACTGTATGGAACAGATTCTTCAAAATCTCAGTTTTTCTCAACAAACAACAACACCACCATGCAGGGGAATGGCTTGAGAATTAATAAATAATGAAAAAAATTGTCTTTTTTGAGTGCAGCTAACACCATAAAGGGAACAAGAAAGCAATGAGTAAAGCTGGAGAGAGAAAGCATACAATAGAAAGCAAAAAGAGGCGGCTGTCACAGCAGGAGCATCTCTCTGGTCTAAAGTGTGTGTTGTGCGTCGTCATAAGTGAAGAACATATGGAGATTTGGCATGTTGTAGGCTCAGAGCCAGAGGAACCACAGATCTCGGACTGTGTCCTTCACTAATGAGAGCAGAACATCAAAACCCTCACAGATAACAGCAGTAAAGCATAATACCGGGAACAATGGCTGAAATATTACACTATCATTCACAAGTTTGTGGTCAAAACGTTTTGTTTTGTTTTTTTTTAATATAAACTAGGGCTGTCAAATGATTAATCGCGATTAATCACATCCAATATAAAAGTTTGTGTTTACATAATATATGTGGGTGCACTGTGTATAATTATTTTATATATATATATATATATATATAAAAAATACACACACATGCATATTTAGGGGAAAAAAATATTATTTATATATAAAATATTTATATTTATATTATATATAAATCTATATACAGTAAATATATGAAAATATTTCTTAAATATATACAAGCATGTGTGTGTATTTATATATTTAAATTAATTATACACAGGGCACCCACATATATTATGTAAACACAAACTTTTATTTTGGATTAATCGCGATTAATCGTTTGACAGCCCTAAACTAATCATTACATTTAGCAAGGATGAAAAAAAATGTATCAAAGTTTCCACAAGACTATTACGCTGCACAACTGTTTTTAACATTAATAATAACAAAAGGAAATGTTTCCTGATTTCTGAAGGATCACGTGACACTGAAAACTGGAGTATGATGCTGAAAATACAGCTTTGATCACAGAAATAAATTACTTTTTACAATATATTCAAATACAAAACAGGCTATTTTAAATTGTAATAATATATCACAATATTACTGTATTTTTGATCAAATAAATACAGGCTTGGTGAGCATGAGACTTTTGAATGGTATATAGTGTATCATTAAACAAATTTAGTGTTAAACATAATGAAATATGGTTTATTGGATATCGGGGATTAGGTAACGGTTAGAAAAAAGACATCCGCAATGACATTTTACTGACCGTTTAGTACAAAGCAATTCAGTCAAAATGTACTCATAACGAACACAAAATAAGCTCTTTTCTATATGCAACAATAATTAATTCTGTCAAGCTCCAAAAAAAAAGCACCATAAAAGTGGCCAGCATGAGATGTGGACTTATTATATTCTACAAACTGAAATAAAAATTGTATCTGATAATCTTGCCATGGTCTGTCATGCAACAAAGCGGTCACATGGACCACTTTAACATGCGCATGTTGCCAATTAAAGATTTTCCTGAGTTTATCGTTCAACTCAAAGCATTCATCAGTGTGTTCAAACGTCCATCTGTGTGTGTGCTCATGAATGCATGAGAGTGTTTAAGCGCTTCATTCTCATTCATGTGTTTACTCTATCCACAGGCCACACAGCAAGAAGATACAAGAGAGAAAGAGCTCATGAATGGATGAAAGAGTGTCTCTTCACTTCGGCCTTTTTTATGCTTAATCTGTGTGTCTCTAACTTGGAATTAAAGTGTTTGACTTTCCTAAGCTGCTGTTAAAGACCCATGTGTGTGTGAGCGAGAGATGGTGTGTGTGAATTGTCAGTGTCCAGGTGAGCAGAAAATGAGAGTATTATCACAGCCGTATGTGTGTAGTCTCAACAGATCAGTGAGGATTAGAGCTGAGAGCGCACTGAGCTCAAACACACACACACACACACACACACACTTAAGCTGCTGAGAGTGAAATCCAGCCTCAATGCTGCTCAGAGACATTCATAATACACTCAATCACATCTAATCACCAATAGAGTTACAGTTAAATCATTCAAACTGTTACTGTAACAGCAGATGAGAAACCCTTTAAGATTTGAATTCAATTTAATGCTCATTTTTGCTAATTAATCTTACTTAAATTGCACAGCTTAATATATATATATAATTACTTTTTAAGAATACAACTCTTTAAAAAAAAAAAATTAATATATATATATAGCCTACCTGATTTGCAAATAGTTTCCGACAGTTGTGCGCTGTTACTGGAACAGGAAACATGATGAGATACCGGAGAGCTGTAGAAAAAATATGGAAAACATGAAATATCTATGAATATTCACACTTTTTTAATGGAAAATGTATACCTTAAATTGAAAATCTGAACTTTACTGACATCATTATAAACGTGACTTGAAGTTTTCAGAATTGTTGACAGATTTCATAAAATAAAATAAAAATCTCAAGTCATTTCAAAGTTAACCAATTTGTAAAGTCTCTACCAAAGCTGTTCTTGAAAATTATTGTGTGACACCACTAATTTAATCTTCATATTAATATATATATATATATATATATATATATATATATATATATATATATATATCAATAATTGTTATCTAATATTTACACTTTGTCCATAAAAATGTCTAAAAACATCACAGACATCATAATAATGTGACTTGAAATTTTCAGAATTATTGACAGATTTCATAAAATAAAAGTCATTTCAAAGTTTTAACCAATTTGTAAAGTCTCTACCAAAGCTGTTCTTGAAAATTATTGTGTGTAACACCACTAATTTAATCTTCATATAAAAAAATGTAATAATAATCAATAATTGTTAACTAAAATTTACAGTTTGTCCCTAAAAATATCTAAAAACTTCACAGACATCATAATAATATGACTTGAAGTTTTCAGAATTATTGACAGATTTAATAAAAAAAAATCATTTCAAAGTTAACCAATTTGTAAAGTCAAATTTGTATGTAACACCACTGATTTAATCTTCATATTTTAAAAAAAGGATTAAATTAAATAATAAAAAACAAAAAAAAAATATGTGTATATGAGATCTTTACAGACACCATAATAATGTGACGAAGTTTTCAATTTCATTTAACAATAAATATTTATTTATTTATTATTTGGTTGCCATCATAACATTTTATTTATATTTAGATTATATTTTCAATTATTCATATTTGCGTGCATATGAACACCATTTAGCAATTTATATATAATATGAACACTGTATAATTTAATACATAGTTTTATAAAAGTCTTAGAAACAACAGAGAGAGCGTGAGGGAGTGTGTGTGTGTGTAGGTGGGTGGGTGGGTGTGCAGCACATTGAGGAGTTAGTGATTTATTAACTTCACCCTCTTGAAACAATGACATTAACTAAACTACATCATGACAAGCACAGTGTGAACGGCCCCGAGCTTTTTATGAGCGTTACTAACAAGCCCAATAACTTTCCCTGACTGAGAGAGGGGGGTAAAGTGTGTCAGCAGGCGTCTGTTATAAAAGCTTCATTTCATTCGTGCTGCTGCAACATCATAAATTACAGGCCAACTAGAACAGAGAAAGAGAGAAAAGAAGAGAAGAGGAGAGGGAATGATTTGCCAGAGGCAGAAAACAAGAGAGGGGGTGAACGAGAGAAAGTAGAGCCGCTCTTTGATCGCTGGGTGATAGAGCTGAAGAAATGCAAACCGGCCTGAACACCAGAACAATGACACATGAGACTCGGTTTCATACCTCAGTTTCTGTTGCACAGCAATGAGATTAAATGGAGAGTTAATGACCAAAGTCTGTTAACTGTTCTTGAAGAAAATAGAATTATTCTGTATTCTGATATATAATGAGATCTCAAATTCTGCTGAAGATTAAAAGTCTGCCATCAATTTGAACCAAAACATTTGCTCTGGGACAAAATGATCTGAGCAATAAACATTATAAACATCTATACTCTTATTATATGTCAACTATTGACTCATTTGTGTCTGTTTTTATTTCTTTTTACAGCCTTATTATGGTTTACAAAAAAAAAAAAGAAAACATTTTGTATTAACAAATATGCTGTTCAAAAGCTCAAAAAGACTAGAGTCAGTATGGTTACCAAATATTACCATATTCAAATTCGTTTTTATTTTGATAGAATTTAATACTTTCATTCAGCAAAGATCTATTAAATTTATCATGTGCCATTAAAAAAATGTCTAATGTTATATGGCATTTATATAATTTCTATTTAAAATGTTCTATTTACCAAAGAAAAAATGTTATCAGTTTCCAGCAAATCATAATATTATAATGATTTCTGAAGGATCATGTGACACAGAAGACTGGTGTAATGATGCTGAAAAATCACAAAATATATATTTGTATATAATTAAATACTCAAATAAAAAGCTATTTTAAATTGTAATAATAATTGTAACAGATATTTTAAATTGTAATAATATTTCAAATAGTTTTTTTTGAATAAACATCTCATAACTTTTAAATGCTAGAGTAAGTTCTGAAGAACCTATGATGTGATAACTGACTTTAGCTTTAGAATTTCTATTATTTATGACAACAATCAAGAGAATTATTTGTAAAGTATCATTATCATTCTGACACTAACTGCACAAAAACAACACACATTTCTATGGTTCACACACACACGGCTTAACAAAACATCTGTAACTTTGTTTCTCAGCTGATTTGTGTGTTTGTGGGGTGTGTGTGTGTGTGTGTGTGTGTGTGTGTGTTTAAACATCATGAAGTGGCTTTGAATCCAAATGAAGAGATCAGCACACACACAGCAGTGCTGGAAACACACAGATGGTCATGCTTACAATGAGTGCAGACTGCGTTAACCTCCAACACACACACACACACACTCGACAGAAGGAGAGAGAGAGAGACACACCACATTACCAAAAAGACTGCACAAGCACTCAAGTGAGAAATTAAAAAGGAAAAAAAAAGGAAAATTTGAGAAAATATCCATTTCTGCGGAAAGATTTGATGCTTTTTAATGGCTAAAATAATACTATAATACTTAATAAAATAATACTTTTTAATACTAAAATAAATTACATAAATACGAAAAATAATAATTCTTATGTATTAACTTTTGAATGTAAAAGCATAATGTCATAATATACGCTTTAAAACATTTATTATCTATTTATTTTATTTCATTTGAAGAACATTTCAAGCATGTTATCTGAAGCCTTCATTTTAAGGTAAAATAAAAAAGGTCAAAATTAATTCAATAACATGATCGTCATTATAGAGCTTATGTAGCCCCGCCCCTTTTCAGTTCTTATTTCCACAGCATGAAGGTAAGATCTCACGGATTTATGAATGCACTGCTCGTTTTAAAATCTTTCCAGTCTACTGACATCCGCTTCAAACCTTACAATGCTCATGATAACTTTCCTTAACTCGATAAGCCAGCTAATCACTCTTCGACAGCGATAGAAATATACAGAGCAACTGCAAAAACTGAAGTTTCTCTAAGACACGGATGAGTTCGCTTGAGCGAGTTATGAACAACAAACCTGAACTTTCCTGAGACCGAATTAAGACTTTTGAGTTGTGCATTTGATTTCATCAGTTGTCTGAAAAAGACTCTTCGAGCTCAGTGTAACTTCATTAAAGTCATATAAGTCAATACGCTCGATTATGTGGCACTAATTAATCTGATCCCCTCAGAAAAGAGCTCACACACACTTCTCTCCGTCGTTAATCATCCTCAAATGAGACTTCAGTACAGTGGCCACCAACTCTGGCCTCTTTGTGCGCCGCGACCTCCGGGTCAACGAGAGTGACTGAAAGCAGGCCTGGCACTGTCCACCGACAAAGCAAACAGTCCACACACACTCACACATGGCCCGCTGTAGCCCACGGCAACCGCAGAACGGACACATGGCACAAGACCCCTCACAGATGGGACCTGTGTGTGTAAGTGTAGGGGGTTGTCATGGTGAAGGAGCACAAGCAAAGTTAACCAGTTAAAAGGCAAATGATGACAACAGATGTAAATGAATGGTGTAAAAGATAGTATTGGGGTTGAAACCTGTCAACAACATGTCTGGGTCATATTTTAGCCAAAAAATAAATAAATTAGAACAATTAGAATATATATTTCGCTTTAAATTTAATCGTATATTATATATAAATGTTATTTTATAGATAAATAGATACATACATATATACAGTAGTCACATTTGAAGTGTATCAAAAAAGTTCATCAAAGTTGTATATATATATATATTTAAAATAATTATAATATTAAATAAGACATTAAATATATAATATAAACAAATATATATATATATATATATATATATATTACTAATATATTATTTATATTATTAATATAAATAATATCTAATATATTATTTATATTATACAGTATATTATTTATTTATTAATGGCTTAATGGCTATATATATATATATATATATATATGCATGCTTTCTTATTTACCCATTTTTTACCCTTTCTTATTTACCCATTTTACCCAAGTCTGAGCATTAAATGTTATTTAATAGTCAAGATTATTAGAATTTATATACATTTTACTATTTTTTCCATTTTATGATAAACCCCCATTGATATATCATTTAAATAGTCATTATATATTATAGCAGTGGTTGTTGTATTGCCTTAATAAATGATTTAAAAAAGCACTGCATTATAGTATTTCACTGTTATACAGTAAATGTTATATAATATAATAGCAATGAAAATCAAGGTACCAATATCATTTAATAACAGTCACTTGAACACTGTTAATATTAGCTCATTTGTAATCTGTATTTGAATTTTTCTTGCTTGGCCTGTTGTGTGATATTATATAGTTTTGTGAAGCACATTGGTCAGCCTGTCTGTATGAATGGTGCTATATAAATACATTTAGACTTGACTTGACTAATCTAAAATTAATTTCAATGAAAATGATGGTCTGTCTGGCCTATATGATCTTCAAACTTAACTCGTATCTAGTTTAAACTGTCCGACAAGTTTGTATACATACAAGAAATGTCATGACACTGTTAGTTGCATGCACATGGACTAATGATCCACAGAGCTTATTATTAAACAGCTTATTATTAAAAGTCATTGTAAGATGCCATTCCTGTTCAGTTCCAATCTTACGACAGTGTGAATTAAGTCTCAAATAAAGCCTGGTTACAGTACTAATGATGAACTCATGAATAACTCCATAGGTCACACGGTTCACAATACAGCGGTCGCATCTCATCAAAGCCATCAGGATGAAGCGCGACTGACGTCGTGGGGGAGAGAGAGAGAGGAAAGAAATGCTTCATACCAGTTTCCTCTCAGTTTCAGTCTGTTTCGCAGTAAAACTAAAGAAATAACTGAAAGTGAATAAGGTCAACAACTCCGACAAAGCCAGAGGAAATCTAACGCTCTTGCAAATGCTAATTTTATAGGGCACCAATTAAGGAGAGTTGTTTTATGGCACTTTTTCAAGAAAACAAAACCTGCGTCCCCAGCCCCGCGTGGTGTCCAGCCTCTAATTGGATGCTCCTCCTGTGTCCGCTCACACACACACACACACACACACACACATTGTGGAAATGAGCCGCTGTCTGTTTGTTGTCCCTTTCACACACACAACACGTTTATCACTGTCACAGGCTCACTGAGGGGGAGTGTGTGTGTGTGTGTGCAATCTGTTCTGTTTTGGGATTTTTTTCTTTACATTGTGCTCTTGCAAGTGTTGTCCTGGCGTGTGCTGCAGCCATAGATCTCAACAACTCATTTGGTCCTGACAGCTATGAGTGTGTGTGTGTGTACAGTATGGGTTAAAGGGGACATATCATGCAAAATCCACTTTTTTAGCCCTTAAATGCATTTTGTTGTATATTTGGAGTGTTTATAAGTACAGAAAAGATGAAATTATTCTCTTCAGGTGCTTCGTTTATATCTTTATATTCTGTTTTGGTCATATTTTTCAACCTGTTCAGATTTTTCTGTTCTCTATTACGTTTTTTGAACAAGTGCGTCACCGTATTTGCAGCGGAACTGACAAATAAGGACATTGACTACCGGTCTAACAATTCGAGCAATCCGCCATTATGATTTCTCGCTCCGATTTTGTAGTCCGAGCTCAATGATGCAGAAGTTACAAGAGGGCAACTGATTCAAGACTGATAGAAGAGCAACTTTGACTGAAATAACCACTCGTTACAACCGAGGTATGCAGCAAAGCATTTGTGAAGCCACAACACGCACAACCTTGAGGCGGATGGGCTACAACAGCAGAAGACCCCACCGGGTACCACTCATCTCCACTACAAATAGGAAAAAGAGGCTACAATTTGCAAGGGCTCACCAAAATTGGACAATTGAAGACTGGAGAAATGTTGCCTGGTCTGATGAGTCTCGATTTCTGTTGAGACATTCAGATAGAGTCAGAATTTGGCGTAAACAGAATGAGAACATGGATCCATCATGCCTTGTTACCTCTGTGCAGGCTGGTGGTGGTGGTGTAATGGTGTGGGGGATGTTTTCTTGGCACACTTTAGACCCCTTAGTGCCAACTGGGCATCGTTTAAATGCCACGAGCATTGTTTCTGACCAAGTCCATCCCTTTATGACCACCAGCAGGATAATGCACCATGTCACAAAGCTCGAATCATTTCAAAAAGGTCTCTTGAATCTCCATCAACTGCAAGATGCTATCCTATCAATATGGGCCAACATTTCTAAAGAATGCTTGTTCAATCAAGGTCACGTAGAATTAAGGCAGTCCTGAAGGCGAAAGGGGGTCAAACACAGTATTAGTATGGAGTTCCTGCCGCGCATGCACGTCACATCCGATGGATTTCGCAGAAAATATGATCAGGAGTCTTCATTCACATAGAAATAGGAATACTGGCCTTCAGAGGAAATAGCAAAACTCGACAAGTGGATCATTGTAATGTGTGATTACAACCCCTTCACACACATGCAATAAAAAGGATTCATTTTTAGAAGAAAAGTTACATATAGCACCTTTAAAGTAGCAGAGATGATGTGATGGAGGGGTCACAGGACGAGGACAGGAGTTATTGATATTTGCATACTTGCGGAGAGTGAGGAGCAGGAGAGTGTAGGTGGACCGGCATTGTGATGCGTTCCGTCTCAGCTCCGCCCCCCTGCAGATCTCTTTGATGCTAAAGAGTTCAGGACGTCCCTGTATCTCCTCAGAGGTCACCGCGCTGTGAACCTCAAAAAGTGCTCACTCGGGGGCCTCGCAGGAGCCCGGGGCCCAACTTTTGTTCCTAAAGAAAATAAACGTGTTGTCAGGACGAGAACAGGGAAGGTCTTGCAAAGATTAAAACAAAATAGGACAGGAAAAGAGTCGGCTCAGGTAGCCTATTAACATGGGGTCAGATCAGTATGCAAATGAGATGGGAAAACACACATCGCATATAATTGAAGCTGTTTGTAAGTGTACTAACGTGGCTCCAAAAAGTATTCGGTCGTCACTGAATTCGATTTTAAAGCAAGCGGCATTTATTAACATTATTCAAGCAAAACAGTTCGCATAAGCAAGTTGGTTGGGTTTGAAATAATAAAATAATAAATATACCTTCCAGAATGGTAAATAACTGCATGTGTGTAAACTGCCGGTGGATTGATTAATATTCTGAGAAAAATACTTTTTGGGGGCGACTGCAAGTGTATTCGAATATCACTAAAACTATCTGCAAGTTAAAGCACTCAAAAGAAACGACAAAATGACGCCACTGAAAATGAGATTCATTGCAGTTATGCATGCTGAAAGAAAAAAAAAAGACTTGATAAATTTAGCTAGTTATCTATAAAAATTAATTAATCTAAATATTAACCTATATTTTTAAGCACCTGAAGCAAGTTGTTGATGAAGTAAAGAGAGAAAGTGTGTATTCTTCTATCAATGCATGTCACTTAGACCAAGTAATTATAATTAGCAAAGTAATGTCATCTGAGATACGAATTATGTATTAATTACAGCCTATATATTTGTTTTTATTCAGTGATTTCCAAGAAGTAAAGTTTACAAAGAAAAGGAAAAAAAAAAGGAAATGAAAAGTTTAAAGTTTACAAAGAAAAGAAAAAAAAGGAAAAGGAAAAAAGGAGCTTACAGTATGTGAGGTCTGGAAGAGGAGCATCTTTCGCCCTCTAGTGGTGGTTTATAATGTACTGCCTCGATGTGTGTATGAAACTCAACCCACAAAGCATAAATTATTATAAAACTGATTTACCTTTGAAGATATCAGCGACAATGTCCCCTGTTTTATATACTTTACATGTAGGCTATAAAGACATTTATTTTTGGTTGTATTTATTTAATCTTTTTTACATAAACAGGATGGAAATACAGGTTAGCCATTGCTTATTGAGGGATTGATACTAAGTTAGTTCTATGATTTATAAGATTACATGAGTTTACATGATTTCAAGTGTCATTGTCAACATCAAGTTCAATTTGATATCTCTTCTCTTGTAATATTATCATGCCGATGTCTGTAACGTTATCAAACATGATATATACAGTCTATAATCTGACAAACCAAATAACACTACAAATCAATTATCGTTTCATTTACCTCATGGCATGTTTGTTAGTTAGTTAGCTAGCTAGCTAGCTAGTAAGCAGACCCGCCACACACAAACAAACAAACAAAAAAAAAAATCACAGAATTCATCGACGGCAAATACTCACTAATAATGTTTGAACTGTTGTTTTCTCTCCGATATGATGTCACTTCCTGCAGGATGTTGTCATTGATGAACAGAATGTGCAGAATTAAAATAATATTTCAGAGAAATCATGTTTTGATATTTGAAGAAAAAAGTGGTAGGCTAGGCCTACATGGCAAAAAAATATATATATATACGTGAAATGTAATTGACTGAGTTTAATGGCATAGTGCACTGAAAATTCTGTCATTAATTACTCAAGCTGTTGTTTCAAACCACTAAGTTCATATTCGGGACACAAACGTGGAACAGGTTTAATTTAGGCTTTATTACTCACCAATGAGGTTCTCATGTTACGCAGCACATTTGAGCTTTGGCAAGAGGTTTGTTCTTGCGTATCAAGCATAAAATTAGGCCTAGATAATAAAAATAAAATTATTTTTGTGAATAAAAGCATAAATTAAATCTTCATCATATAAACCCATTATGTCTCACCGCTCGATTCATATGGATTAATCTTATGATCTCTTCATGAACTTTCTGTAGCGTCAAAGTGGTAGGCTAGTTGTGTAGCAGTCATTTGGAGGGAAAGAAGCTCATTTCATCAAAAACATCTTCATTTGTGTTCTGAAGATGAATGAAAGTCTAACGGGTTTGGAACGACATGAGGGAGAGTAATTAATGACAGAATTTTCATTTTTGGGTGAACCAAAAGCTTTCATTTTTGACCCAATAGGCTATAAAGGCATATATGATGGGGACATGTAGGCCTAGACTCTAAAAAAAGGTTCTTCAGCGGTTCTTTGCAGTGGTCATGGTGCTATATACCACCACTACCATTTAAAGAACCTGTTAAGCCCAGTTTGGTTCTTCAGCGGTTCTTCAGTGGTTCTCTGTGGTGATTAACGTGCTCTATGGCACCTCTTATGGTTCTACATTGCACCATATGACAAAGATAAGTGCTATATTAGTGGTTCCCCTATGATTACAAGCCAATGAACCACTTTTAGTGCTATTATGAGTGTATATTAGGAATTACCAGTACATTTTAAACAGTGTGGGGAAACAAAATGAGTCTTACAGATCCTTTAGTATTATGGGAGGTAACTGGAAGACAGAAGGACGGGAGGAGAGGAAGAGGAACTGAAGAGACTCTCTTCTGCATGCATTATTAAAGCATGTGCAGTTACATAACCGCCTCACACTCACAAATGAACTCAAAACTGTATCCAGGGGATGTTCTGAAGCTGCACTTTGGTATTTAGATGACAAAGAAATAATGAAGTGGAAAGTGCCACGCTGCTTTCCCTCCTCACGCGCTACTGGAGACGCGCTCCGCCTGCACTTTGATTATATTAAATATCCTGTCATTAATCTCGCTTGAAGTTTGTGTGGCATTATGTAAATGACCTTAATCCATTTAGGCTACTTATTCATGCTTCTGTTGCCGTTATTAATATTTTCCAATCCGACGTGTGTAACTTAGGCTCTTAAAATTGAAAAATGTATTTCTATATGCCTAAATTCTTAAGAACATTATGCTGATTACTGTTATTGTTTTATATTTCATCTTTACTTTATACCTTTTAATAACTTCTTTAATGTTATTTTTATAATATAATATTTTACTTATATTCCGGGTACTTTTCATTTTAGTATGTTTTTTATTATGTACAGGCCATTATTTAAAGTTTAAATATTGAAAACCTGTTAAATGCAAAGGGTTTTGAACTGTATCTGAAGACCTCAAAAGCTTGTGATATATTTATATCCATAATTTCAAATATCTAAGAATTCCTTGCTCAGATATTATGTAACATAAGGGAAACATTTGAGTGTCTTCACTTATTCATGTGCCTGCTTGAACATTTCTAACCCCAGAGCTTGAGAGAGGGAGAGAGAAAGAGAGAGAGTGAGATAGAGAGAGAGATTGATGTTTCAAGTCAACAATATTTGTTAGAGAGCATAGGCAGTTGCTAGGGTGTTCTAGATGGTTGCTAGGTTGTCCATCCTGATATTGACATGGCTTGGGTCCCTCTATGACCTAACAAATTAAAGGTAGGGTAGGCAATTTTTGGAGGAGCTAGCAATAAAGTTATCTTTGAAAGCATAAGATCCCACCCTCCCTTCACAGCGTCTCCAAAGCCACGCCTCCTTCAAAACACATGAACACGTACAGCAGAGTCTGCAAAGCGTCAACCTCATGTCTCAAAGCACATAACATCCTGTTCGAACTCGTTCATCAAAATGAACGAATCTTTTTCCGAGTCAATTCGTTCATTTCGTTCGTTGAATGAACCAAATGACTTGGAAAAAGATTCCTTTCAGTTCGAACAGGAGAAGTTGAGCTTATAAAACTTAAACTTTGTTATTTATTTATTAAATGAGTGATCGTTTCGCTTGGTAAGACCCTTATTCGTCGTCTGGAATCGTTTAAAGCTCTTTGAACAGTTTGCAGTTTCTACTAAAAGTGTCTTTTGGACCTTGAACCGTTTGGTTCCCAGTGAAGTCCATTATATGGAGAAAAATGCTGGAATGTTTTCATCAAAAACATTAATTTCTTTTCCACTAAAGAAAGAAAGACATGGACATCTTGGATGACATGGGGGTGAATAAATTATCAGCAAAAGTTTTTTTTCAAAAGTGAACTACTCCTTTAATGCAAGGTTTTTTTTTCAAGTGCAATTCAACAGGCTTTTTTGTTTCAAAAACATTTGGCATTATTTTACTTCCATAATTAAGTTTGCTAGTGCAACATGACATCATGGCTTTTGCGTAAACATATACGCCACTTTCGAGTCAGGTGGCGTGTTATCTCCACGCATTTTGTGCTATCCGCGTGTATCCGCGTGTATCTGTATATGTCTACGCCATTAACGTCCGCGTCATTCCGCGTGTCCGAACACGCAGTCAAATCTCCAGTCATAAATGCCATTAACCCCAGTGACGGTTAAGTTTAGGGACTGGGTTGAGGTAAGTCATATATTTATATAACGTTAAGTCAACGGCGTTCATAAACACGCTGAAAGGCGATTATGCGTCTTGATAGCACGCCAAAAATGGAAATACGAATTGGCGTCTCATACACACGCTACTTCATGAGATCAGTCTGGCTAGTGATGTTGTCGGGATTAAAGAGACTGTAGCATAACAAAAAATGTTTCAAAAAACAAATCGCTTACCCTGCCATTAACATTATAATGAAGCTTGCCTTAGCAAACAGCACTAATAAATAGAGAATAACAGTCAGGAAACTCTTCAAAGCTCCGCGTGTCGTGGCCGGAACACGAACATCTGAACCTTCAGCACATTTCTACAATCACTCTTTTCTTCCTGAAGGGTGATCAGAATGAAAATATGAAATCTGTCTTCCAAACAAAAACAACAAAAAACGTCTAAAGCTCCTGAAGGCAAACAAGAGATAAAGGCAGATCAAAACTGTGTTTGCTGACAGGTGAAGTTTTTATTTCACAGCTGCTTTATGACTGAATGAGTAATGATGAAACCTTACCAAACCAGAGGATCAAAGTCTGATTGACATCAAACAACAGATGAAAAAAGAAAAGACCTGAAAGTGCAGAAGTTGAGAGAGAAAAGAACCAGAGACAGCAAGAAAGTTTTTTTCGGTGGAATGGCTCAAAAAATGTTGTATTCATGCTGTCAGGCCAGTAGCCGATGTGTTTGTAAAGAAACACTATGCACCTAGACTGAACACATTTCTTTGAAAATGTCATTCCCCGGGAATATTTTTGTGGGGCAAGTTTTCACAATAGGAACCTGCTGTAAAAGTTTGTTTTAAATAGCAGCTAAAAAAAGAGAAATCTTTCACAACATATCTTTATGTATTTTGTACTTTTCAGATCAATATAAAAGGTAAAAACATACACAGAACAATTAAGGAATTGTAAAAAAAAAAGTACAAATACACACACACACACACACATATATATATATATATATATATATATATATATATATATATAATGCCCCGGTAAACTTGCTTAATGCCCGATAAAGACTCAAACTATTTTTGCATTGCACTGTGTTTCATTTCAAATTCAACTCTGATTATTAAATTTATATATATATCTGTGAAAGATCAAATGCACAGCCAGTGTGCAGCGATCAATACTCTTCCCACAGTAACTCATGAAGGGCTGTAAGATATCAGTCAGAAGGCCTGCAGGCTCTCCGTGGAGACGTTTGCTGATAATTGTGCTAAACTGCGAGCGGTCCGGGCTCTCTGGGGATGCAAGGATGTTCAGGAAAAACTGTAACTCAATATGATCCACCTATATCAGAAACTAGGACACACTGCAGAACATCACACCTGGAAACATGGTGAGCGCACACTCCATCACACTTTATTTAGATGTTAGCCTACTTCTCATTCTCTTTATTCAAGGCCCTGGGTAATTAACGATAGAAAGATAGATAGAATGATAGAACGATATAGATAGGTAGGTAGATAGATGGATAGATGGATAGATAGATAGATAGATAGATAGATAGATAGATAGATAGATAGATAGATAGATAGATAGATAGATAGATAGATAGATAGATAGATAGATAGAACGATAGATAGAACGATAGATAGAACGATAGATAGATAGATAGATAGATAGATAGATAGATAGATAGATAGATAGATAGATAGATAGATAGATAGAACGATAGATAGAACGATAGAACGATAGATAGAACGATAGATAGATAGAACGATAGATAGATAGAACGATAGATAGAACGATAGATAGATAGATAGATAGATAGATAGATAGATAGATAGATAGATAGATAGATAGATAGATAGATAGATAGATAGATAGATAGATAGATAGATAGATAGATTTGCACCGTGTTTCTGGAAAGCGCCTGTTTAGCTTTCCTGTTTCTTTTGCTCTTCATGCATGTCTTTCTTTTTGATTGTCTCTTTCTATCCGTCTCTCACACAGCAATCCCGGGATGCACAAAATGCTAATAAGTGTGTCAAATAAACAAACAATGAGAAATGGTCGTCCCATGGCCTCTCTGTCGTCAGCTTTGATCTCTGTGTTGTATTGTTCACTCAAGCCTGTTGTTCTC